TTCAATGAATGAGGAAAAAAGAATACTTGGATAGAGTTGTACCTCTACCCATTTTTACCTGTCATGTTTTATTTTAACCTTATACCAATACTGAAGACAGGGAAAGGATTATGATCTCCCTTTTAGAGATGAAAAAATATGCTCAGAGGTAATTTGCCAGTTAGTAAGTTGGGGAGCCAGGACGTGAACCTAGATCTTCTGACCCCAAACCTAATTTCTTTGGGCTACACCAGGTTTCTTTCCTAAGAGGGGCCTGGGCAGTTTCTGCCCCCCACCCCCACCTTATCCTCTTTCTCCAGCATTCTCCTGCCATCTCCCCACTCAGCCAAACAGGCTCTCCCCAACAGTCACTGAGCATAGACCACTCCCCTGGCCCCTTTGGCTTCCTCCTCCCCCACAGAGTCCTTAGTTCCTGAGACTGAGAGCTGAGGTTCAGAGGGGCCAGGAAGGGGAGGGGGTAGGGTAATGGCTAACTCCAAAACAGCCAAGGCAGCTGTCCCTGTCACAGAGAGAGGAGACTGTGACGGTGTGTGTCTGTCTGCCTGAATGTGGGAGCGCATGTGTGGGAGAGTGTGTGTTTGTATACCCCTAGCTCCAAGTCCAAGTGCTTATTTTGTCTGAGTGGGGGCTCGTGTGTGTCTGCATGTGTGTCTGTCTGTCTCTGGAAACACACAGCCTGAACTCTGCTTTCTCGGCCTCAGCCTTGTCTTTTACTCTGGCCCTTATCTCTCCTCACCCTGCTTCCCTCTGCTGAAATAAAGGGTGAAACCAAGACACAGGTATGGAATGCTGGGGGAAGGGGAGTTTGGAATATTAGAAGTCTGGAGCCCAAGCAGACTGAATGGATAAATGGCAATGGTGGGATTTAGCTTTCCCTATAGGCAAACCCAACTGTCCCTCTTTTCCCAACTCTGTTGCTCCCATGGGCCCTGGAAAAGTCAGGGGCATAATTTGCATTTTGAGGGCATTCTCTTTTTTAATATTTTATTTTGTTTTATTTTTATTAAATTTCTTGGGGGTAACATTGGTTAATAACATAAATTTCAGGTGTACAACTTTATGACATCTGTCTACTCTATTGTGAAGTCTAGTCTCCTCTGTATTTGACCCCCTTTTATCCTCTTTGTCCTCTTGGGTATGAAGTAAGAGGAGACTTCAGAGCACCCTTTCTTCTAGCTCTCAGTTCTAAGCCTTCTCAGCTATTTTGGAAGAGCTACTAGTCAAGGCTGCCACAAGTCCCTTCCAAGGGCATCTCCCTTCCATCAGAGAATTATTGAGCCAGCCCCAAGCCTCTGTCTGACTCCTGACCTCAGGCCTGGAAGGGGACCCCCACCCCTGGCCTGACTTCTTTCCTTCCTTCCCAGGTTCCCTTCAGCCCTGCCTCTTTAACCCTAGGAAAAGGTCCAAGGTCTAGTCCCTTCTGCCTGTGGAAAGAACAGGGTCTGTTTCTCAACCTCCAGCCTTGACCTCTATCCCACCCCAATCTCATTTGAGAGATGGAGGCAGGGGGCAGCTGTCATCTCTGAGTTGGTTCAAGGAGGCATTACCATGTACAAATACATGCCACTGCCCATCTGCACCTCCCTGAGAAAGGCTCCTAATAAATTCGGAGCAGCCGAGTGACATACATCTCAATCTAAGCTAATCCACAACATTAATGCCACCTTGCACAGCCTCCAGTAAGTCTCTGTTAATGGGGAGGCGGATGGACCCCTCCCAGCCAGCTCTTTGCCTCTGTTCCTCTGTCCCTAGCCTCCTTCGGTTCTCCTCTGACCAAGAAGCATCCAGAGTTCTTGAGACCCACTCGTGTCCCTTTCCCTTCCTCCCACCAGAGGGGACCTGAGAAAGCCAACAGGGGAGACTTGGAGAAAAACTCAGGCAGGCTCCTGGGCGATGTCAGGCAAGGTCTGGGATAGGGAGTAAGGGTAACAAGGTGGTTTTAAGAAGCTCACATCTACTGCCTGGGGTGGACCTGGTAGAAGCCGTGCATAGAGGGGAGCAATGACTGATAGGATGCAGTGTGTGTCTGGGCAGGCACAGAAGCAGACGGGGCCAGAATGCCTACTGATTTTTAAACTTGTTTTTGAATCTGAAACCCTTTCTTCAAATGAAATCTCTCCAGAAAGCATAAACAAAACAGACAAAAGCAGAACTGCCCTCATTAAAGCAGATCTAAGCAAGGCCAGGCTTAGTTTCTATCCCTGAGGCTAGCCCCGAGTTCCAGTCTCTGAGGGGGTTTCTGGGTAGGGCCCCAAAGAACACATTTGAAAAACCCAATGAAGAAAAGCATTAGCTGAGGAGCTTTCCAGACCTGGTTCAGATCCCAGTGCCACTGCTTACAAGCTCTGTGACCTTGTTACTTTAAGTCTCAGATTCCTCACCTGAAAAAGGTGATAATACTTAATATTGATGCATTCTTGTGAGGAGAGAGATAATGAGGTGAAGGTACACAGTAAGTACTTATGGATGATAACAGTGATTATTCTAATGGGAGAAATACCAGGCCTGGTTCAAAATCAAATCTGTCCCACTGAAGAGTGAATAACAGAAGTTCCAGCAGCATCTCAGGTGTGATTGGCTGAGGGGCATGTATAACTTTATGGGAATATTGGCACTGAGGTTTTCAAGGATGTGGTATATGGTATGTGGCATGCAATAGTGTGGTTTCCATTAATTCAATAAATAGCTATTGAACACCAACTACACTAGGCACAGTTCTAGGTGTCCAGCAGTGAACAAAACAAAGCCTAGTGTGTATATATCTGTGTATAAAACCTTTGAACATACACTTTTTCGCCCTTAGGCTGCTGTTTCCCCATTGTATCTTTGGGCACCCCATACAGGGGTAACTTTATTGTTGGTGGCTGAGAAAGGGGACAGTGAACCTGTGGAGAAACACTACTGGGAACGGGATAACCCGGAGAATGTATCCCCATTAACCTGATGTGTGTCATCTCTTCCCTCCAGAGTCTTCCCTCCATGGAGTTCGGCCTGCTCAGCGAGGCGGAGGCCCGAAGCCCGGCCCTGTCGCTGTCAGATGCGGGCACTCCCCACCCCCCACTCCCAGACCACAGCTGCAAGGGCCAAGAACACAGTGGTGAGCACTCTTCTGGGTGTGGAGGAGATAACAGCTCAATCTCTAATCCGGGTGGGGCCCGGGTGGGAGTGAGGGGCCCAGGGAGTAGGTACCGCAGCTGGGGAATGCCTTTGACCTGCCCTTACCCGGCCCCCAGACTCAGAGAAGGCCTCGGCTTCACTGCCCGGAGGCTCCCCCGAAGACGGCTCGCTGAAGAAGAAGCAGCGGCGGCAGCGCACTCACTTCACCAGCCAGCAGCTGCAGGAACTAGAAGCGACCTTCCAGAGGAACCGCTACCCTGATATGAGTACGCGCGAAGAGATCGCGGTGTGGACCAACCTCACCGAGGCCCGCGTGCGGGTATGGTGCTCCCAGACCCATAACCCTCACCCTACGCCGGTCTCCCTTTCGCCGCTTAGCGAGTAGCTTCGAAACCTGCAGCTTGTGCTTCTGCCTGGCCTGCTCCATCCTTGGACCCGACACCTGACGTCCCCCGGTCCCAGTCCTGGTCAGCGGCCCCACACGGCCTTCTTTCCACCAACCTCCAATCGTACTCCACCCTATCACTCCAGGCCGCTCGCTTCTTCTCCCCTGACACTGCTGCTTGTTCTCGTCACCCCTCCTTGACCCCATCCTACTGCCCCCACCACCCTGTCGCCCCTGACTCAGTCCTGCCTTCCACCACTTCTGTTCTCAGCTCCTTGACTCCATACACTCCCCCAAGACTCCCATTCCCGCCTCCAGCCACCTCATCTTGTTTATCCTCCGCACGGCCCTGGCCCGGGCTTGAACCCCTATCTGGGTGACGCACCCCAGCACCTTCCACGCTGACCGGCTCTGGGACCTCTACTCGGCTCTGTGCCCTGATAACCTTTTCTCCTGCGCCCGCAGGTTTGGTTCAAGAACCGGCGCGCCAAGTGGCGAAAGCGTGAGCGCAGCCAGCAGGCGGAGCTTTGTAAGGGCGGTTTTGCGGCGCCGCTCGGGGGGCTGGTGCCGCCCTACGAGGAGGTGTACCCCGGCTACTCCTATGGCAACTGGCCACCCAAGGCCCTCGGCCCGCCGCTCGCCGCCAAGACCTTCCCGTTCGCCTTCAACTCGGTCAACGTGGGGCCTCTGGCTTCGCAGCCCGTCTTCTCGCCACCCAGCTCCATCGCCGCCTCCATGGTACCCTCGGCCGCTGCCGCCCCGGGCACCGTGCCAGGGCCCGGGACCCTGCAGGGCCTGGGCGGGGGGCCCCCGGGGCTGGCTCCGGCCGCAGTGTCCTCCGGGGCAGTGTCCTGCCCTTACGCCTCGGCTGCCGCAGCAGCTGCTGCAGCCGCCTCCTCCCCCTACGTATATCGGGACCCGTGTAACTCGAGTCTGGCCAGCCTGAGGCTCAAGGCCAAACAACACGCCTCCTTCAGCTACCCCACGGTGCCCGGGCCGCCCCCAGCCGCCAACCTCAGTCCGTGCCAGTATGCTGTGGAACGGCCCGTATGAGTGGCCCTGCCCATGGATCATCCTCGAGGGCGGGGGCGATAATTCACAGCCTCCCCGGACTGGGGACGTCTTGACTGGCTTGCCCCCGCCCCAGGGTCTGAGAGGGATGCTGGGGCAGCTGGGGGCGGGAGAGCGGCCGACTCAGGAGACAGCCTTCCCCCCACCCAACCCTGAGGGGTGGACTGGGCCCTACACACAGTCTGCGCTCCTGGGACTAAGGCCAGGAACAGGGACCAGTTCCCCGGGGGCCAACTCACCTTTGGCCCACCCCGCCTTCTCCAGGTCCCCGCCCTCCCCATTTATCATTTTCAAAGATAAATGAAATAAACATGCGCAGACTGTCAAAGGCTTGATGATTCAGAGTTGCGGTTGAGCCCTCTCCCCTCATCCTCCCCATGTCTAAAGGAGAGCTAGGTGCACCGGAAAGAGGTGAGGGTCCAAGCTTCTAGGGCTTCAGTCCCCCTCAGCCGCTAGCCCCACCACGGGGAAGCCGGGGCATTCCTGAAGAAGAGGGACCCACGCGTGCGTGTGTGTTTGTATTGCTGGCTTGAGGACAAGCTACTGGCTGGCATTGGCCAAAGCTGGTGCTGCGGCGCCACCTTGTGGTCTCATGGAGGATAACTGGAAGGTCTGGTCTGCAACGCCTACTTGCAGGTGTCACTTCTGCAACTTAGAAAGCCTATGATGACCTTAGTTAAGTTACTCCTCCTTTCTGCACCTGTTTCTCACTGTTCCACTGAGAGGCTTGGGCCTCTAACAGCAATAAAATTCTGGTCTGTAACAGACATTTATTAAGTGCCTACCAGGCCTAGGATTCTTATTGAGTGTCTCTGTGTGTGCCTCTCATCTTTCCACACACCCTCTTAGGCTCTTCAACTACTGACCATCCCACTACCAGAAGCTGTCTACCATCACAGCTGATTCTTTCTTCCCCCAAATATCCAAAATCCAAAAACCTTGTTGAGATATTTAATTAAAAAATAGAGCAAGAAGAAAGGTTTTTGTATAGAAATATAAATAACTCAGCTCTGGGAATCCTCCTTAGTCCCACCCCGTCTCGGGACCTGCTCGGCCTTCACACTAAAAACAAACATCAAAATACTAGATCATACCCCCTTCCCAGAGGTGATGCTTCTTGTCTGTTATAACTTCCTGTCACCTTGGGACGCACATCCTGTGAGGAAACCATGCAGGGAATGCATCCTAATCATTCTCCCAAAACTAAGCCCAACCCCTTAGTGCCCTGGGGAGGAGAGAGACTAAGGATCCTTCTTTTTTCACCAACCCTTTACTCCCTCTTGGTATTGGCTTTCACCTTGGGCATTATGTAGGTTTTGTGGAAAAAGTGGGCAAAGAGGATGAAATAGGTCAAATACAGGATGAAAGACCAGAAGAAGTGTTCCGCTGTGGTGTGGCATCCCTGTTCCTGTCTCCAGACGTAAGTCAGGATGACGACAATGGCTCCCATAAACATCTGCAGGATCTGCAGGGTGGTGATGAGCCTGGGAAACCACCTGGGGGGCTCCACTCTGGCAGCCTTCAGAGTGTAGTAGGTGTACATGACGGCATGCACACCGAAATTCATGGTCATGAACCAGCCGCCTGCAGCCACCTTGTTCTTGTATGCAAAGCTCGTGAACACTAGCACTGTGCTGTGGTGGTACCAGTGCACAAAGATGAGTGGCCGCTTACGTAGGACGATGAAGGCCGTGTCTCCTGGGAGATGGGAAGTCATAGCTGGCATATCACCCAGTGTTGGGACCACCCTCCTCACTGAATGTGGGGGCAAAGGGGGAATTCTCAGGGTAGGGAGAGGGGTCTTTATGACAGAGAATCTGAAGAGGGGCTTGGGTGAGAGGGGTTATTAGGACCCAGGGGTTGGGGAGGGACTCTCCGTGTGATAGGTGAGGGGGGCCCTGAGAAGGGATGCAGCTGACTGGGTGCCAGAGAGACAAAGCCTTGCCACTCACCAAGTTCAATGATCTTGCTGAGAAGAAAAAGGCTGGACCAGAATTGGATTACGGAATCATCGATGAAGGTGGAGAAGCACACAGTGTGCTTTAGTTTACCCCTAAGTACCAGGGTCCCCATAAAGCCCCACATCCTCACTGCCCCCAGGATACTGAAATGGGACAGAGGAAAAGGGTGTAAGTTCATCCCCAGACACCAATCCACCCTTCCGCCTCGGCCTAGTCAGGTCACTCTCCCACGTTCCACCACCTCCCCCACCCTTTCAGGGGTCATGGCTTCTGAGATTCTTTGGCCAGTCTGGTAGATCCAAACAATAATCTAGAAGAGACAAGGGCTGGGGAAAGGCCAAGGAGTGCTGGAGGATAGGACTGAAAGTTGAATTAGGGAATAGAGTTCTTGGGACGGGTAGGAGCCTATAAGGAGATGGGTGACAGGATGCGGGAGATTGAAGGATTTGGGGAGGGAAAATGTGGGAAGCAGGGGATGGGGAAGTTTATTAGAGGGTCTTGGGAGAGGGACTGGAGAAATTTGTTGGAAGTACACAGAATCTATGAGCACAAGAGAATAGAAACTGCCAGTTTGGAGCCTGGGAAAGAAGGAAAACAGGGTAATATGGGAAGAAGGTGAAAGCCGGCGAGGGGAGCTAGAGGTGAGAATGGGATAGGGAGAGAGTTGCAGGCAACTCAGGGAGTTGATGCAGTTGAGGTTTCTGAAAAGGTTTTAGGGATAGAGTGAGGGTCTAGGGTCTACAGGATAGGCGAGGAGTGTCTTACCTGAAGATTGCAAGGCAGAAGGACCAAAGGATGAGAGGCCCCTTCAGGTTGAAGCCCTTCCGTGCCTTCATGTAATTATGCCCCACAAAGATGAGTAGCAGGTAGATCAGAGCGATGTGGAATGAGGTTGTCCTGGCAGGCAGAAGGCAGAGGGGATGGACTCATGCATGGGTGGGTGCTGGTTAGAGGAATGCCCACTCACCTCTCCTAGTGAGTGCTCTGGGTTGGAGTCCCAGCTCTGCCACTTACTAGCTGTGTGACATAGGAAAAACCTTCTTAGCTCTCTGAGCCTTAGCTTCCTAATTTGTAATGGGAGAATAACACTCCTCCCTTGACAGTGTTAATGTATGTAAAGTACCTAGCACATGGCAGGGGCTATGTCCACAGTTTCTGTGACTATTGCTCTCTCAGTGAGGCTATAAGTAGGTGACAGGTGCTGGCTCATGCCTAAAACCAACCCAGGATTGTGGTGTAAGAAGAGTGGCAAAAGCGTCCACCTAGTTGGGTCATAGCAAATTGGCTGGAGCACAAAGTCAGCCCACAAACACCACTGAGAAGGCTCAGGGCAAAGCCAGAGAGCCTAGGGAAATCTTGGAAGAGCTCCCTGACTTTGCCTCCTTTTCCGCAGCAGGGACGATAGAATACTTGGGGAACAACGTGATAATTGTGAAGGGCAGGCTGTTTCTGGGCACCAGCACTATGCACGTGCACACACAGACACAAAGGACAGAGAACAGTCATCTATAGGCTGGTGGGAGTAGGAGTTCAAATCAACCCCATTCCTCAGAGACCAGTTCTCACTACATATAGTCTTTCCCCTTGGTTTCTGTCTCCTCCCACATTCTTCACCCCATCCTCTCTTTTCTTTTTTCTTTTCTTCTTTCTTTTCTTTTCTTTCTTTATCTCTCTCTCTCCCCCCCCCTTCCCTCCTTCCCTCCTTCCTTCCTTCCTTCTTTCCTCCCTTCCTTCTTTCTTTCTTTCCCCCCCTTCCTCTCTCCTTCCCTCCCTCCCCTCCCCTTCACCCCCACCTCCCAAATTGCAGTCATTAGGATCAGTCCGGCATGACCCTTCCGCTTCCCCAGGTCTCACCAGTACTCCTTCATAAAAGGCCTTATGTCATGTAAGCCCTGTAACAGCTCGAAGTTGTAGGGCTGGAGCAGCTGCGCTGTTTGGTCTGAACTATTCATGGCTGTGCCCATTTCTTCTGCAGATGTCGAGGTCTGGAGCTTGGGAGCTGGGTGAGAGGTTGGGGGACCGAGGATGGAGCGAACCTTGGAGCAGGACGGAATGGACCCAGGAACCAAGGAACTCCGCGGCAATCCGAGGAGCGTCCGATTCAGGGACAGGCGCTGCAATCCAGCCCCATTCCACCGCCGCGGTCACTGCGGTATATAACGCGGAATTGCAAAACTGCGGGCCCTCCTTGGGGCCGTTATCCAATCTCGACCAAGACACGCCCCTATTCCGCCCCTGGGCCGCAGCAGGCTCTCTGATTGGTTATCCTTGCCCCCCCAAATGCCCGCCCTAGGCCCTCGCCACGCCCTTTTCCATCCTTTTTCTCCCCCAACACGTTCACTCCTACTTGCTTGGCTTAGCCCATGTGGCCTTGCCAGATAACCGGACGTACCAGTCTTCCGGCACGGCCAACCTCAGCCTTTGCCTCAGTTAGCTTTAATCCTGGCCTACTTGGCAGTGAGGAGAGAGTGTAAGTGTCCTCAGCCTCTGGTGCATCCACCCAGAGATAGTGGTGTCAGTTTCCCACTTCCCTGAGACCCTGGGAACCCCAGGATTGGGTTGAGGATGAATAAATTTAGGGGAAGCAGCGACTAAGAGCCTCTCCCATAGTCCCCCATCTGCCTCTTTCAGGTCTGTCGTTGTGGGTGGGAGGAGGGCAACTTTTAATGAATTTTATTGTTGAAGTTGTTGATGTTGGTGTTTGGGGAGGTGGTTATTGAGGCTGTTGTGGTTTCTTTAAAATTTCCTGAATTCCTGAACTGCTTCAGCCTGACACCCAGTAATAACCCTGGGGAGGAAATGGGGTCATCCTCTGGGCCTCTGGGATTGTCTTCAGGTTTCCTGGAGGCCTCCTAAGGTTTATAGGTTTCCTGTTCTCTCCCCAGTCTGTGCTTGTCTAATCAAATCTACTTTTTCCTTGCCTGTGTACTCAGCCCCAAAGAAATAAATATTTTAAAACTTTTAAGACCTTACTTGTCTGTCCCTTATTTCTCCTAGGTTTTATGAGAGTGAGGGATAAATACAAGGCTTGACAGCAGTTAGAGATAAAATGGAGATTTGCAAAACAAGTGCTAAGAGAAATATATTTTTTAAATATTTAAAATCAAGATGTGGCTAGAAATGGCTATGTGCCATAAAGCCCACAGGCTTTGGAGCCAGAGGAGCCAGGTAGGAATCCCAGCTCCACATGCTTGAAACTCAGTGGCTGTCCAGGGAAGGGTTGAGTGAGAAGTCCTGTCCAGGTGATATAAATGACTCTCAAGTGCTTTCCTTTGTCTCTGTACCTCATCACTTCTCACCTGGTTACTACAGCCACTGCCTTAGTCATTTAACTGGTTGTACCACCTCCTTCTCTAATACAGTGCTTCTTTCTCTTTATTGCATTAGAACCAGAAAAGAATTCCCAAACCTGGCTGATTGTAAGACTCCTGAGCCTCAGTCGCAGAGATTCTGACCCAGTAGTTGGTCTCAGACCATACTTAGGAAACCACCACTTTCTGTCCTCTCACCCAGAAAAGGGTTCTAAAACCTAAATTGGATCATGCTGCTTTCCTGCTTAAAACCCTTCAGTGGTTCTTGATTGCTTCATATATACCCTGACACTCAGAAGGTGATCAGCACATGTTAGACGGATGAATGAATAAGTGAAAGAATGAATATTACAAGAAAAATACCATCTAGGTGTTACAAGACCTGGATTCAAATCCCAGCTCCACTATTAACCATGCATGTGATTTTAGGCAAGTTGCCTAACCTCTCTGAGACTTGACGTCTTCATTAGTAAAACTTAGATAGTCATACTTGCCTTCCTACCTCACAAGGTTGGGGTCAGTATACAAGTCAGATAATGTCAATGAAAGGATATTGTGGACTAGACACATGAAAATGTCAGGGTGGTTCATTTTGGGAGATGTACAAATGCATATAGAATACGTATACTCAGTCCTGGATTTCTCTCAAATGAAGATATTTTACACTGTCTTTCCCTGTGAAGTTTAATGGTGAGGCTTGGGGGTGGGATGTGTGGAAGAGGAGAAGAAGAAATCTCCAGAAGTTATTTCCTAGGGGAAAAGTTCTCTGAAACTTGGACTTGGTCTGGTACCCCTATTATATATAAATTATTCTCATAACATGGTATTTCTTTCTTTCAATGAGAGTTTATAATTACTTCATTATTTTTTGATTTCTTGATTAATGCCTCTTTCCCCCAATAGTCCTTGAGCTCCATAAATGCAGGGAATATGTCTACTTTGCTCAACATCCTTCTCCTAATACTGGACACATTGTAGGTACTCAGGTAATATTTGTTGCATGAATGATTGACTAGATGAAATCCTCAGCCTATAAATCTGGGTGACACTCTTTGTTTCTCCAAGATAAACATGCCAAGCTTGTTGGGTATTTCTATCGCTTGGCCTCAGCTTTCTCCTCTGTAAAATGGGAATAATATCCACCTCAGAAGCATGTTTATGAGGATCAAAGGAGATCATATAAGTTAAAGAGCATTATACAATATAAAGTGTTAAACAAATATCAGCAGTTATCACCAAAAATAGTGAATTTGTACAAATCTCAACTTTTTTTTGGTTTGTTTTTGTTTTTTTTCTTTGTTTTAATTGGGGAATTGGGGGATGGGAACAGAGCTGGGGAATTGGGGGAAGGGGAACAGACAAGTTGCTGTCATTTCGTTCTTCAGTCTAGTTGTGGAGGATGTTGCTTCACTGGCCCAAGTTGGCACCATCATTGTGCTCTTCCAGAGCAAGGCAGATCGGTCGCCGGCTTCTGGACGGCCACTCACTGCGGCTGCTGGCCGCTCCCGCTGGCTGCTGGCTACACACGGTAGCCCATGGCAACCCACTGCAGCAGGGGTTGCAGCCTACGCCATCACCGGCAACTCACCGCAGCCCAGCTCCAGGTTGAGCTGTTGTTCAGCATCTTAGCTGTAGAGGGCAGTGTCACTGGCCCGCATATGTGGGATCTGAACCGGGGCCTTCTGGCGTAACCAAGCCAGCTCTTAACCAATGTGCCACTCAGCCAGCCCCTCAACTTTTTTTTAATAAAACAACTAAATCAACTAAAAGGAAAGTCATGAGATGGTGATTGGTTGCACAACAATGTAAATGTACTTAACGCTACTGAATTGTACATTTAAAACTGGTTAAGATGGTAAATTTTACATTATGTATATTTTACCACAATTTAAACCTTTTAAAAAAGGAAAGCCATTGGGAGCGCGAGCTCTGAGCAGCAGGGCCGCCGGTTCAGATTCCACATGGGTCAGTGATGCTGTGCCCTTTACAGCTAAGATGGAGAAAACCAGCTCAACCTGGAGCTGGGTTGCCATGAGTGGCCAGCGACGGCGTAGGCTGCAGTGGGACTGCAGTGGGCTACCGTGAGCCGCCATAAGCAGCCGTCCAATGGCCAGCAACTGATCTGCCTCAGCCTGGAAGAGTGCAATGATAATACCAATATGGGCCAGTGAAGCAACGTCCTCCACAACTAAATTGAAGAACCAAAGGACAGCAACTTGTCTGTTCCCCTTCCCCGATTCCCCAACACTGTTCCCTCCTCCAATTCCCCAATAAAATCTTTAAAAAAAAAAAAAAAAGGAAAGCCATGAAAAAGGAAAATAGTTTTAAGTAGGATATATAAAGAGTTAATGTGACTATTACCTAAAAATCTTATCCTCAGTCCTATCTCTGTCCCCTGGTAAGTGGCTGAGGACACAGAGAGATCATCTTATAGACTCCAGTGTCCCCATATCTACCTCTTATTAGCTGCCAGAAAGGTCTTTCTGAAACACACATTAGCTCATGTCATTCTTCTTTAAGAACAAAACAAATCTTTAAGACTGAGGTCAGATTCCTGAAGTGGGCCCTGATCCTTCCTTTCCAGCCAATGTCCCATCATCCCTCAGCCCCAGCCTTCCACATTTTAGCTATAATGAAACAGTCACAACTCCATAACACAAGTACCATATTTTTAGGTTTTTCAACCCCCTTTACCTCTCTCCATATTATTCCCATTCCCCAGACATCTTTTTCTCACCTGTACAAATTACCTATTGTTTGACCCTAGCTCTAAAGTCACCTGCCCTGCAAAAGCCTAATTTGTTTCTGACAGGGTCAACCCCTCCCAACTTTGTCCTCTACCCACAGGATTTTGCCAAAACTACCTGCCAGTATTGTGCTTCTACCAATTGAATACAGTTAGTCATATATTTTTCTATACCATCCTGGCTCCCCCACCCTATTCCAAATGGTCATTTTTATTAGGTCATTCATCCTTGAGGGAAGCACATAGCACTTGGCACATAGTGACACTCAAATATGTCTGTTGCTTTGAATTGAATAGGCACCTAAGAGAAAATACAAACAATAATATTTAAAGATTCAGCTTCCTTAGTAATTAGGGAAATGCAAATTAAAGACTATATATATAGTACAGTCCAAATTAACAGCCATTAAACCACATAAAAATTAAATACCCAACGCTGTTCAAAGCTTTAGGAAACAGATACATTCACACCTGGCTAGTGGTCAGGTAAGCTGACATAATCCTTCAAGAAGCACACTTAAGTAACACTTAGCAAGAATTATCTGGTATCCTTTGACCCAGTCCCTCACCTAGGAATTTAAAACTCAAGTGAAATAGGCCAAAAGAAAAAGAAAATCTGTATGTGTAAAATACTTAAGTCGGTGGTACTTAAAATAACAGAGAACTGAAAACAACCCACTGATAAATGACTAAATTATTAACTACTAACATTATAAAACAGCTTGCAGCTACCAGAACATGAAGAAACATGAAACCATATTTGTAAAATAATGTGAAAGAAAAACAATATTTAAAACTACCTATCCCATTACCTCGGTTATCTAAAAGTGATGTCCCTAAAGATTAAAGTTGAAAAGAAACATTAAAATGTGAAGCCATTTAATGGGGTAGGTGAGATTATAGAAAATAATTAGAAGTACTTTAAATTTTCTTTCATGATATTTTTAAATTGATGTCATAACATTGTGGAATGCTATTCATCCAGGGATAATGTTTCCTCACTCTATGCTTTCTTTCCTGGCTATCTAATTCCCTTTCATGACTTTACCTGTTACTTCTATTTGGATAACTCCAAATTATCTATCTTCTATCTTGACCTC